AATCCTACACGTTTGGGTGTAAGGTTGGTAAAATATTAATTTAAACCCTGAGATTACTTTGCATTTTGTGTTATATCAGCACAAGAATGTGTGACAGGAGAACTGGGATCAATTCTATTATCTGTACTAAACCCTTGATCTCACCTTTAGTTCGTTATGCAATATTTCTTTGAAATATTATGCCTTTTATAATGCAGGGAAAGGCCATATGTTAGATACACATGGATTTTTATCATCTTAACTGTACATTTTACATTTTTATATGTCATGTCACATTAAATAAACCTTGATATTCAAACTATGAATGTTAACTACTAAGCTTCGATAATTTGGATAAGATAAGATGGCAAGACTGGATGAGGAAACTTTATTTGGACATCGACTAAAGATAATTTGATTGCAATTAGGAATTTGGAGGTCGACTCCAAATTTGCAAATATACTTTGAAGCAATTCAGTGATTAGGAATTAGGACAGGGATTCTGACATTTACTGAGCACTGCATTACATAGAAATTCCAACATCTGAGAATTAAATTTGCAAAGTTTTGGCACAGTAAATTGGCCTTCCCCACTCCATCACTTTATTTGTGGCGGAGTACAAGTTATTTTTAACTTGGCACCTGTAGTAAATCTGTATGTTGCATCCCTTGTATTGCTTACCCCAATTGTGTGTCTCTTATGCTCCCGTTATGTCTTTTATGCCCCTTACCTCTATGTTGTTCCTGTTATGCTCCAATTTTGTGCCCTATCTCCCCATTCTGTGTCTCTTATACTCAACTGTGTCTTTTATACCTCTCCCTTGTTTCCCCTGCTGTGGCTCTTACCTCCATGTGCCTCTTCTCCACTCCTTCTTGTGTCTTTTTTCTTTCCCCTGTCTGTTTATTTTTTGTAGTATAGCCTTGTGAACTGCAGTAAAGAAGCTTCAGTAATCTATACCCAGACTGAGAAATCACCTGCTGAGAAGTACTTTCTCCAAGAACAGCTCCTCTGCGGCAGTCTGTGAAGCAATAATGCACAATGTGACAGGCAGGAGGGGTATACTCTGTGCACCCCCTCCCCACTGTCAACTGGGTGGACCGTCCCCTGATCCTAGTGCATGAGTTTGTTTAGTAATCATTTTCTATTTTCTTTTGAAATGGTCTATTTATGTAATATGCAATTACATTAATGTGGCAGATAGCCTGGTACCCCGACTGGGTACCTCTGCCAAGCACGCTCCCTAGCTAATGCCGGGACACCATCAGCGCTCCAACCCCTAACCGCTGCAGCTTGGCCAGGGCCTCGATGTTGCTTCCCACCCTGGAACAGGCTCCTGGATCCAGCTTCTAGTGATTAAAACTCTCCTGCAGAGAGTATAGCTGTTTTTCTGGTACACCCAAACATTAGTCTGAGTGAAAAGTGAAAAGGAACTAGTTTGTTATGGGCAAGCTGTCTTCTTTTATACACAGCTCCCAGCATGGGGTTTCCATTCAATGCAAGACAAGCCCCTTCGATAAATCTCTGTGCCTGGGAGATAATTGCATTAAAGGCCGGTAAGCTATTTATCTCCCAGGAAAGGAGAGGCAAACACAAAAATATAAAACATAAAAATACCCCAAAACATCAGAAAAATAAATAATAACCCCACATATAATACATATTTAAGTAGCCCTAATCTGAGTGCCCAAGTTCTCCAATAGCACTCAGATCCATGCACTGTAGAGGAAATGCCACCTTGTTAAAGTTCTGACCAGTCGCATACGTGGCCCTATGCCCAAAACAGTTCCAGGGCATTTGGTGTGCTTTGGCTGTTCAACTTTCGGGAGCTCCTGCATCCAAAATATAGGGTACTCTGTCTGGCTCTTAGATAGCGTTTGTGTCCCTTAGTCTCCAGCACCTTCCCTCCAAAAAGCGCTCTCCAAGAAGGTTGGAGGAGATTTTAAACTTGTGGTAGGTGGGGAGGGTCAAAGCAATATAGAAAATGGAGATAGGATGGAAAGGAGATGGGCTTTAGCTCAGAACAAAGGGTGTGGAGATGGGGGGAGGGGAAAGCTCAGAACAGAGGAGGTATGTAATATTGATAATTCACAAAAAGTACAAAAGACTTATAATATTAAATGTATGCTTACTAATGCAATGAGCCTATATAACAAAATGGGGGAACTAGAGGCAATAGCATACAGTAAACAATATGATATAATAGGCATAACAGAAACATGGTGGGATGAGACACATGACTGGGCAGTTAATTTAAATGGTTACACATTATTTAGGAAGGATAGGATAAACAAGAAGGGTGGTGGGGTATGTTTATATGTCAACCATGAGTTAAAGTCAAATCTTAGGCATGTGGAGTGTGACGAGAAAAATGTGGAGGCTTTATGGAGAGCCAAAAAAGGGTCGCAAGAGTATTCTGAGAACGGACAGCAGCTGAAATAGCCTGCCCTTCGGTGAGTCCCCGCTCAGAACTCAAGCTGGTTTTAGCTCATCTTGTGCCATTACAGAGAGAACATATCTGAAGCATATCAGACTGGTCCCACCCATACGGGCAGTCCAGATCCGAAATGCCAGCAAGTTCTCTTTGCACGAGAGATGCAGCAACCCCAGACGATCGTTTCAGCCTTGTTAGGCATCATCAGTGAGGCATTGCTGATATCTCTCTAGGCACCGTGAGCAAGGGGTCCACGTCTGGATTACCCTTTAAACTCATGGAGAGCAAAAAACGGATCGCAAGAGTATTCTGATAACGGACAGCAGCTGAAATAACCTGCCCTTCGGTGAGTCGCCGCTCAGAACTCAAGCTGGTTTTAGCTCATCTTGTGCCATTACAGAGAGAACATATCTGAAGCATATCAGACTGGTCCCACCCATACGGGCAGTCCAGATCCGAAATGCCAGCAAGTTCTCTCTGCACGAGAGATACATGGGTAGATATCTGCTTGGGGCAAACAAAGGGAAATCAATTATTGGTTGGGATATGTTATAAATCACCCAATGTAAATATTATTGAGGAAGAACAGCATTTAGAGCAAATTGAGAAAGCTGCAAATCGAGGTAACACGTTAATTATTGGAGATTTTAATTACCCAGACATAAATTGGGATAGAGGGACTAGTACTTCAGCAAGGGGAATCAGGTTTTTGAATGTGTTAAATGACACCTTTTTGTCACAACTGGTACAACTGGTAATTTAAAAAAAGCCAATTTCAATAAGATTAGGGCAGCTCTACAACATATCGACTGGCATAAACTCCTTAGTGATAAAAACACTGAGGATAAATGGAAACTATTCAAACAAATATTAGAAAGGTACATTTCTCAGTATGTACCATTGGGTAATAAATATAAAAGAAACAAATTAAAACCAATGTGGCTTAGTAGAGAAGTAAAACAAGAGATTAAAAATAAGAAAAGGGCATTTAAAGCATTTAAATCAGACAAATCAGAGGCATCCTATTTAAGATATAAGGAAGCCAATAACACTTGCAAAAAGGCAATTAAAGTGGCTAAACTAGAAAATGAGACATTGATAGCTAAAGAATGCAAAACCAACCACAATTTTTTTTTCAAGTATATCAATTCTAAAAAAACAAAAAATGAAAGTGTAGGTACACTGGAAACAGAGCTGGGTTTATTAGCTAATGAAGACCAGGAAAAAGCAGAAATTTTAAATGACTATTTTTCTTCAGTATATATTAATGAGAATCCTATGGCAAGAGATATGCAAATGATTGCTGCAAAAAACTTGCAAATAACTTGTGATTGGATAACTCGAGACAAGGTGCTACAGCTATTAAAGAAAATTACTGTAAATAAAGCTCTGGGGCCTGACGGTATTCATCCACGAGTACTTAAGGAGCTAAGTGGGGAAATAAGTGA